TATCAACTTGCTTTATATTTAGTTCCATTCAATTCATTATCAAGTACATTATCAGGTTCAGTGTCAAGTTTATTATCAGATATATTGCAAAGTAAATTATGAGATTCATTAGTAAGGGTTATACCCTCAATTTTGCATTTGGGACTGTTTCCTCATTAATTGCGTGACTCTTTTTTGTGAAGGCAGACTCCTCATTAATTGGGTGACTGTTTTTTATGAGGGCAGTCTCCTCAGTTTGTTTGGTTCATCTGCATGTTCTCTGAAAAAAAGAAGAAACACAAACAGGTTTAATGAAAGCACCATGTCATTCATACCTACAATGAATTTGTAGCACATAAATTGTGAGGCCTACTAGAATTTGAATAAAAATAATGATTGCACAAATAAAATACTGGCATATTTTTTCACCACGCATTCATCGACTATCAAAACAATATGTAATTTAGCTATTAAGTTGCATATGCAAATCATCCACACTAGCAACATGACATGCAGATTACATCAAATCTGTTGAGATGTTCATTAGCTAATTTACATATGCAAATTACTCCCAATAATATGACATGACAATTACATCAATGTATATGCCTACCAAATTTGATCCAAACCAGAAATAATCCAAATTTAGTAAAAAAAACAATATGCTATTGACAATTTACATATGCAAATTAACCCCAATAGTAATATGGCACACAGATTACATCAATGTACATCTCTATAAAATTTGGTCAAAGTCTGTCGAGTTGTTTAGGATTTAATCAAATTAGTGAATTATCCATAATAGTGCATCTATTACAACAATGCATATCCCTATCAAAGTTGACTCAAAGGGCAAATATGTCGAATTCTTCAAGAGATAATCCCAATTTAAGAAAAATATGGAAATTAGATAAATTACATATTGTGCATATAAAACAGATTTAGCCCAAAAGGTGCGAGGAGTGTCCCAAAGCATGTGTAATGAATTAAATAATTATTTCTATTCATGACCGCGGTTACAAACGTATTTTAGTTTACCCCCACACCCACAAACACGTATACCGTTAAGCCGATCGAGCATGGGTGGCCACATCGGGAGCCACATGCTCTGACTCGCGTGAACAGCGAGGGGTCCAAATTGCTAAATTACAGGATTACTCAGAATAGATATTAACAACATTAATTATCAGAAAAGTATTAACAAAAGTCGTTCGATCACAAATATTCATAATTGGACTTTAGAAAAAAATCCACGATAAAACGACACACTATTAAAATGGCAAAGGCAACGACCAATTCACGCTACTTACCAGGAAAGTTGGGCGAGAGTGAACTACTTCCGGGTCGCGACCAATCATGTCGAAAATGACCAATCACGTTTCGTGTACTTCAGA